ATGTACAATTATGTCTTCTTACAAAAGATTAAATAAACATAATAAATACTTGTTTGATTATGGAAAAAAAAAAAAAAAAAAATAACAATTATTAATTTTTTTATAAATAAATATTAAATGCATGATTTTTATTTAAACTTGAATTTATAATTAATATATTTACATTTTATATAAGAGTATTACTAATTTATTTTTACTAATATATAATTTAATATAACAAAGAAATATAAATTTTTTGCAAATACAGTATATATTTAATATAAATTATAAAAAATAAATTAATAATTTATTTGTTTTATTAATTACATTTATATTACTTTTATATGTACAGTATATAATCTTTAAAAATAAATAAAATTATATAGTATATACAGTATATACAGTACATATTTATATTAACTATATAATTAATTACATATATAGCATTTTTATTGAAAAAAAATATCTATACTGTCTATATATAAAGTTTTTAATTTTTTAAAAAATTTAATAGTTTTTTTTTTTGTTGTTCACTTATTTTACCATATTTATATTATTTATGGATCAAAAAATTATTAAACAACCATTATAATTATTTTATATATAAAATTAAAATTAATTTTTTTAATTTTTTTTTCGACTAAAGCAACAATGCTAAACGCTATTGCAGTACACATCACGTGAAACTTATGTTGAAACACGATCGCTTTTAATGGATGTCGGTTGATCTATTTACTACTCACGTTCACGTCATGTTTGCTCGAGCTGTTGGCCAATCAACAAAAGTGGGTGTCACATGTATGTTGGATTAATATCGCGTCGCGAGTTAAATCAACATCCCTTCAATTACGTTGATCGAACCAACGCCTCTTCAATCGCGCTGATCGAACAAACATCCTTGAGAAAAATGGGCAAAATTCAACGAAAAAATGAAAATAAACAAAGAGTCACTAATTTCTTCGCATCGACGAAAACTCGTAGCGTAAACGCAACCAAGGGCTCTAAGGTGAAACAAACAACCGTCGTTAGGTATTCCTGTCAGAAGTATCTTAACTTATGACCTTATTATTTTGACTTTGTTTAGCCCCTGGAAGTTGTTCGCCCCAAAGAAAAAGTTGCCCGTTCAAAAGAAAATGGTACCTTCCCGGAAGAAAACGTCGTCCCACTTGAAGTAAAGGTTGCGGCTCCAGAAGAAAAGGTTACCTTCCCCAAAGAAAAGGTTTCACCTCCCAAAGAAAAGGTTTCACCTCCCAAAGAAAAGGTTTCAACTCCAAAAGAAAAGGTTTCAACTCCCAAAGAAAAGGTTTCAACTCCCAAAGAAAAGGTTGTCTTCCTCGAAGAAAAAGTCACCGCTTCAAAAGAAAAGGTTGTAGTCCTCGAAGAAAAAGTTGCACCTGTGAGTCCTCCAAAGCGACATAACTTGGAGCACAAATTAAAACATAAAGTATGCTATCGTTGCGTAAAAACGTCTTATCTGGACTATTTTTACAAAATTATGTGTTTGCGCGTTTTAGAAAGGGGCTCTCGAGCAAACACGTATTACATCTTTCGCTACTCTTATGAAATTTGCGAGTAAGAAAAATGAAGGCAGCAATACGAAAACGAAGGCAAGTTTTTCCTATAGTAAATTTCAACGCGCTCCGTTTTCAAAAAAGAAAGTATACGCTATTACCATCGTGATCAAAAATAAAACCACCGTGTCAGTTAAATCATTTTTAATGAGTAGTCTTGAAACTGCAAACAGGCCTAGCATTTATTGTGATAGTTATTCTTGTACCCTCTTTTTTTTTAAATTGAAATTACGTGAAAAATGATTTCGTATAATGAAAGGCATTCATTAGACATCATTACATTCGCTTAGGATAATGTCATAAAGACGATTAGTACGCGTGTTCCTTCAAGAAAACAAAATAAATCGGACCTCGCTCAACGTAGAAAAGCATTGCGTGAACGAGTAAGTCATTTTTTGGGGGGTTTTTTTTTGTTATCATCGTCGTCATCGTTTCCTTCAAAGCATCTCTAATGTTACCTGATATTTCCAGGTTCGGGCTAAAGATCAAAGAACGATCGAAGAGACATTACAGGGGTCAAATTTATCAGAAAAACATCAAAGGGTGATGTTGAGCCGTTTAATCGACATGACAGACTCGATTTCCTTGTATCCTTTTCCATAACAAATGTTGTTTGTTATCATAATTTATCGATTTTATGTTATTTTTAATTTGAGATAGTCTTTATATGACGTCTAAAAAAAACGTCATGTATATAACGGACCTTGCCGTAAAACTAAAAGAAAGTTCGAATGTGCCACTATCACAGGGTAAGCATTGAACCATTATAACAGCATCTATCATTTCTAGTAATTCGGTCTAACATTTCAAGGACTTCATAGGTGAAATAATTGAACACATTGAACTCCTTTCGGAAATCGCGCCTGATTGGTGTAAACTTTCTTACAGCCTGGAGCGGAAGAAGTTGGTAACGATCAATCATTCAATTTCTGTAAATGAAGTTCTTAAACTAATACAGGGGAGAATGGATAATATTTTGAAACAAACTTTATAAATTTATACAAGATGAAGCAACAGGAAAGTAGAAACTGTTAAATCAAATGTGCACATGATTAAAAAGTTATTTTCGAATCAATAAGATACAAAGAATATAATAATATAGATATGTAATTGTCTGCAACCGTCAATCCCTCGGTGTATATGGGTCTACGATAAAAAAAAAGAGGAAGGAAATTTTTTAAATTTTTTCTACATTTTTTGTCTACGCAAGTGGTTAACTATATTTATTTGAGTGCTAAAAAAAAAGGAAGGGCTCATCTATGACGATGTAAGAATGCCAGAGGAAAAAAAACTTTACGTTCTCGTATATTATCAATATACGGTAGAAGAAAGGTCTTTTCCAAATGAGTGCCAACACTGAATGTAGGCATATTTTTGCACTGGTGATGAATCTGGGTTTGTTATAAAATATTCCAAGGTGTGGTGTAGTAAATCTAATAATAAGATAATGATTTTGGTGGGTTTTTTATGAGTATGATAAATGTTTTACTATTCGGCGAATTCAAATTGGCAGAATTTTTCTTTCCGTTGTTTCATTGTTGTACGCTTCGTGTGATTGTCTCATAATTGTCGCTGTTACGTTTTAAAATGTCAACAACAGGTCCTAATAATCGAACGAATGCTTTTTTTCCAAGTGTGGCAACCTTTAATCGACCTTTTGCCCGAATATTTACGGCGCGAGGTTTATTATTGAGTAAAGCAAGTTCTAAATAATTATGAATTCCAACCAATTGTCAATGTAAGGGTTAGGTTGATACTTGGAAAAATTAATTGAAAAAATGTTACCTCCAAAGTAGTCTCCTTTATGCAAACCAGGAAGCTCGTGTTCGATACCGTCCTCATCTATTTTTGTTACCCGAGCTTCACCAGCTTCTATAAGATAAAAATTATTACCTATATCTCCTTGTTTAATGACCAATTCACCATCCTCAAAATACAAAGATTCTAGAGCGTCAGCAATTTTGTGACGTTCGTAGGGTTCCAACGAAACCAGAATTGGAACTTCTTCGAGGAATGACTCATACATTTTTCGTTTTCGTGAAGTATTTTCCATCAGAATTCGTCTAAAGGTCACTCTGTCGAGTGCCCAGAGAACGGCTTCTGATGTTGCGACGACAGTCGCGGCTCGTGGTGCATTGTACATAAGAGCCAATTCTCCAAAACTACCGCCGGGTCCATAACCATTGACTAATTCTGGAAATGCTCCGTTCTTGGAAACATAAACATCGAAAGTTCCGGTTTCTACGACATAAAAGAAATCCCCAATTCCTCCCTGTACAATCACCTCCTCGTTTTGTGCAACCTTTTTCTCTACCATAGCATCAATAACATCTTTGTATTGTTCCTCGTCGAGGTTTTTAAATAAGAAATTGTTGGCAATAGACGTCTCTATTCGTTGTCGTTGCTCTTGAGTTTTGGGAATCTCAATTTTAACGTAATCCCTGTCTTGGCTTGGCGCCATCGATTCAGCGCTTACAGATGTGCGTCGACCTCTGTTATAAGTTATGGGAATGGCTGGAAGATCGCTGGGCTCATCATCGTACATTTCTTCTTCACTGTCAGGAAAATAATCTGTGGTGGGCGTGCTCGCCATAGACGTTTTTGCGGAATAAAAGTCCGTTGGCTCTTGCACCTCGGTGTCTGATAAATCAGAATAACCGTGAGAGTGCTCTGAGGTGGAAGACGACTCTTCAAGAATCTCTAAAGACATGCTAGGCGGTAAAAACAGGGTTGGATGTCACAAAAATGGATGTTAAATGACCTAAATGACCAAGTAAGGTCTGGTTCTAGAATGGTTTCACTATTTGATCGACAAACGGCTAGAGGAAGATTTTTTTAATAAAATTTATTATCATTTACAGTATAACAATAATTAAAATGTATTAAAAATTGTACTTAATTTCTTGTTCACTTAATATATTTCTTATAAATTAGTAGATTATTTAAACTATGCGCGATATCTTAAAAACTTTTTTTAAAAAATCAAGAACTCACATAATAAATCTTTTGTAAAATTAATTATCACATAATTTCAAATAAGAAAAATCATTTAATATTAACTATGTGATGTATAATATGGAAGATATTAAATAAATCCAATATCATAATTATTCGAAATTAAAGCATCTATTTATGAAGACGGTAAGTGTTTAAAGAATAAGTTCTTAAAGCTGTTTGATATATAATTAAATTATTGATTTTTTGTTTAAAATTTTATATGTTTTGTAATAACTTGATAATTATAAGTAAGCTATAGTGTTCACGGTATATATTGCATCATTATCTAAATGTTTAAATACACTTATTTATTTATAATCCAATAAATATTTTTTGTATTCATATAAAAAATTTCTTTAAATAAAAATTAATTTTTGTTTAATTCAAAAATTCAAATTATTTATTAAACTTAAATAATAAAAAACAAATTAACAAATATTATCTATATGACATTTTATCTTAATATTTAAAAATAAATAAATATATTTTTTTAATAGGTTTTTTTTTAAAAAAATTTTTAATTTAAACAAATTCTTTATTAATAAAAATTATTATTTTTTTTTTTACTTATAAATTAAAAATACAATATATTAAAGAATTATAATTTGTTTGATTTTTTAACCTTATGTTTTTTAATTAATTCTTTTACCAATTAAAAAAAATTGAATATTTTTTTACATATTATTATTATTTAAAATTATTATTATTATTATTATTATTTTGAATTAAACTTTTTATAAAAAATTATATTATATATTTATTTATATAAATTAATTTGATTTTTTTTTGTCAAATTATACTGTATATACTGTATATATATTTAAATAAAATCTTATTTCGTATTAATAAAAAATCTTTAAAACATATTTTATTTTAAATAAAAACAATAATAAAAGCTTTAAACAAAAAACAAAAAAAAATCAAAAACTCATAAATTTTAATTTTTAATAAACCTTTTAATTTCTATTGATACTAATAAACATTAAATATTTTGTTAATTATAGTAATAAATAATTAATATTATATAATGATAGTGAATCAATTAATTTTCTTATAATAAAATAATTATCAAATAATTAAATGCTATAAATGATACAACAATTTTTGATATTAAAAAATTTAAAAATTACATGTAAGTTTGAAAACCAAATTTCAATAACCAAAGTTAAAATTGTAATGTTTTTATTTATCCAAAAAATAAATTGGTTTTTTATTTTTTAAAACTATAGAATTGTATCAAGATAATAGTTTCAAATTATAATAATAAAAATCAGTTATAAACATAATTTAGAAATAAACAATCTTTTATTTTTTTATAATTATATCTAAAAGAGATTTATTCTTGTAAATAAATGTTCTTTTATATAATTTAACTCTTAGTATAATATATCATGTACTTTACAGTATATGCTGTACACTGATATAATGAGATGTAGTATAAGTAAATTAGAATTTGTAGATGGATATGTAAAAGCTTTATATAGAAGATATTGTAAATTTAATTTTGAAAACTTTAATATAAAGAATAAATAAAAATTATTCAAGTGTTAAGTATTATATAAATAAGATTGTATTGTGATGGAAAAGCATATAGCACATGTTTTTGCAAGATTTATTGATACTTCAAATACAAATAGCCCTCGTTTTTATGATTCTTTAAATTAAATTCTTTTTCTTTTATGTCATCAAAAAACCGATTACACAAGTTTTGTATTATTAATTAGCCTGTCCGGACATTTTCTTTCATCTTCCGAAAGCATGTTCAAGTTCAATATTATGAATATGCATTTTCATGACTCCAAGGAATGCATTTCTCTATATTATTGTTACTTGGTTTTAACCATACAATAATTGATTTTTATTGTTCAAAACAAAATCTGGTCAATTGAAGGATAATTCCTTAACTATATGCAGTGTTCAAATAAGCCTTAAGCTTCGATATGAAAAAACGATATATATGACCTTAACCTAGATATTTATTGAAAAAGTTAAAGATTCTTTCCCATGCCAATTTTTTGGATTCTGCGTTTTCGCCACCCACGAACCCTAATTCTTTGCGCTTTTGAGTTGCCCATTCTCCTTCATTTAAGAACGCGTGACCCTCTCCTTC